GCTGCAGCCCTCTTGGTTCTAGATGTCTTTAGACTCAGTAGGGTTGACTAACACTGAAAAATAAAGGTCAGGTTGAGTGGAAGTCAGCAGTGTAAAAAAAATGCAACAACCAGCTCCTGGGTTTTAGGTAAAACTATCCATTAGCCTTTTGTACTTGTATGCATGTAATATGGTAGCTTAAAATGAATACCATAGACCATGGCATCTACAGATAAAGCTACTTGACACTGATTAATTGCTTCATCAATAACTCTTCAAGTGGTGAATTAAGCTCACTTTACAATTAGCATTTTTATGGCTGTTTTGTACCATTTTGGATTTTTTGTAGCTAGATGTTCATAATATTTAGCATCTTAATTTTGACTACATTGATGTCACTTGCCTTGTCAATCACAAAGCAATATGTATTGCTTCTGATCTGATGAAGGCAGAAGAAATAAACACTGCACATAATTTAATCTCTGATTCATGGTGTGCTACAGAGTCTGGGCTGTAAATAAATTATGAACATATAATGTTTTAAGAGCCTTTTATCTGGACAGCTTCATGTGGAGTCATATTATCTGTGATCTAGTTATTGTTTTAACAAAGCCTATTGATTGCAAAGCATTCTAGGTTATTAGGGAATGACTGGTCTCTAGCACCATAAAACTACTACTGACCTCATTAGTTGTTGGAATGAAAATTGCAGGGAATGGAAATAGACGTGGGGAGCTTCAAATGAACAGACCTAGCAAATTCAACTGAGTGGAGACAGACAACATCAAAAGCCTGTTACAGGACATGTAAGATTATGAAATAACTTGCATAATGCAATACTTGTATTTTTTAACAAAAATGTAAGTATTTACAAAATAAGATCCAAGTTTTTTTAAACATCAAGCAAATCATTCTGCAAAGAGACTGCATTTTTTTGTTCTTATTTTTGTTTTTGTTTGTTTTTTATTGAGTTCTTGGGTTTGTTTGTTTTTTTTTCAACCATGTCATACATTTCCCATACTGATATCACATGATCCATAATAATATAGGCAGGGAAGTTACTAATGGTGGGAATGTTCGCATCCACCATTGCTGTTTTCAGCCAGACAGTTCCACCTGGAGTTCCTTGTTTCTACGGACCTCTGCAGCATGCCTCTCCTGGAAAACATCAAAGAAGGAAAAGATCAAACTACTTGACTGGGAAGTCTCTGTATGCTTCCCCTTCAGCCTCCATAACACAGTAGTCTCCTGAGGATGCTTCTCACACAGGGCGAAATTCACCAGGGAGGTACAAGACATACTTACTACCATATTTCATAATGTATAAGTTGAATTTCGAAGCCCAATTTTTAAGTCTTAAAATTCAACCTTGATTTTTATACACCATATCAATACTTTTGCCCCCCCCCCCCAGCACCACCCTGGCCTGGCCATGGCCCCAGCTGAACCCTGGCCTGGCTCTGACCTGACCTTCTTCATCTACCTGTGGTCTGTGGGCCTTGCCATCACTATGGAGATGCTGCTCAGCTGGGTACTGAGCCCATTCCCATCCCTGCCCCTGCAAGTGGCGCTGGGCTCAGTGTTTGGCTGGTGCAGTCCAGGCAGCACAGTTCACAGGGGACAGGGACGGGCTCACCCCCAGCCAAGCAGTGCCTCCATAGTGTGCTCATAGAGGATGGGGCTGTGCCAGCTGAGCACCAAGCCCGGTGCCACTTGCAGGGAATGGGGCCAGGTTTGACACTCGGCTGGCACAGCCCAGGGAATGGGGCATCAGTCTCAGGGAATGGGGTTGGGCTCTGCGCTTGGCTGGTATGGTCCCATCCCCTGCGAGCGGTGTTGCAGCATGTGTCCGCTCCCCGCATGCTCGGCCTGCAGTGAGGGCATGCAGAAGTTGATATAAATCGACCCCATATTTCTGATCCAAAAAGTTAGGTCAACTTATACACCAGATCTACGAAATTCCTAACTTTTTGGATCAGAAAACTGGGGTTGATATATATACCATGTCGACCTGTACACCGTGAAATATGGTACCTGTGTTCTACTAGTTTGCAGTATTAAATAGGATTTAGGAAGGATGCAGTCTTGTTCCAGGCCCTCTGTACAAAAGAGAATTTCACTCTAAGGTGCAGAGTCCTTATAGTTCTCTGTCATTTTCAAAAGACTGATAAAAAAATTTAATTTCAAAAGACAAAGCCATTCTAGGTAAGTTCCTCCTTGTTTTCAGGCTGCCCTAGCCTTATATAGGAGAGGTTTTGTAATTATTTGTACCACCTGAGAACCACAGTTAAGCATCAGGATTTATGTTTTTCCACAAAACAAGGATATGTTGCACGGACACCCAAACACCTTCTCAGGATGTCTTGATTAATGGACTTTCCAGAGAATGTCATTAAAGAAAGAAGGTACCTGGCATGAAAATACTCAGGTTTAAGCAGGGGCCTGCAAGTTAAGATGGACAGTCCCATGAACAATTAATGCTAGCATTCAGTGAGTTCATTACAAGCCTGCCAGAAGCAGTAAGGGTCTTAAATAAGCCTCAACAATGACACGAAGATTACAGAAGTTACAAGTCACAGAAAAACCTTTTTCTGTCTTGTTGCAGGGAGTCTGAGAAGGACCAGTGGCTTGAAGTAGCATCAGTGTAGTTTTAGGCTGGATATCAGGAAAAAACATCTTCACTGTTAGAATAGTGAGGCAGTGGAATAGACTCTCTAGGAAAGTTGTTGACTCTCCATCACTGGAGGTGTTCAAGAAGAGGTTGGACAGCCATTGGGCAGGGATGATATAGGCACAGCTATGCCTATGTTCCACTATGGGTATTTTCCAGGCTTCTGGCTAACCAGCAAAGCCCAGAAGCCTGGGAAAAAGCACAGAACAAAAAAAATGCTGGTTTCCTCTTCCCCTTCTTTCTCTTACAGGGTGTTTTTAAATCTTCCTCAGAGGCATTAGGTGTTGGCTGCTGTTGAGGCTAGGGATTTTGACTGAGGTGTGCCAATGCTCCTGCTGGGACCAAAGCTGGAGGTTCCTGGCTAAGGGGTCCTGCCCCTCCACTTAGGGTCAGATCAATTGCTATATTTGGAGTGAGGAAGGATTTTTATCTCATGGTCAGATTGGTGGGGGCTGGGGGGTTTTGTAGTGGGGGGCATGGCCCTCTACCTGAGATCTGTTGAGCATATATAAATGACATTTTTTATAGAAGCAGGACATTGGCTGTTGTGGTTCCCCTGCTTTTCCTGTGACAGTTTAGGGCATTAAGTCATCTTGAGTTGTGTCAGGGTTGATGGCAGTTTTAAGAGGAGTTTAGGATGGTTTGGATAGACATGATCCTGCCTCAGGCAGGGGATTGGACTATATGACCTTTGGAGGTCCCTTCCAGTCCTATTTGTTTATGAATTCTAAGTCAAGGCAAAGAGACTTCAGAAGTGACAGAGTCATGAAATAACTTCCATGCTGGACTGGACAAAAACAGTAGCATTATTAGGGTGGGGAAGCAGGGTATCTGCCCCCTGCTTAGATTTAGAGGGGGTACCAGAATGCTTGTCCCTGGGGAGCCTACACTGGGAGTTGCTGAAGCTCCTGAGTGGAGGAATCTGAACTAAAAGAATACGGGCAGTAGCCCAAGCCAGTCATCTAACTAGTAATTAGATTTTGATCTCATTCATGTCCTTAGATCTGAGTATGTAATCTGAAAACCAGATGCTGACTTTATGTGCCTTAAACAATTCAGTGATAGTTTGATAAGCACAGGATGACAAGAACACCACTTGATTTCAACTTAAGGTACTGCCAATGGGCTTGTTGCATGAGATTTGTATGTCATGTTCCTTTTATGGAAACTTATCCAAAGTCCAAATAAATCAGTAAAAGTCTGCCTATTGACTTCAGCTGGCTTAGACTTAGGTCTGTGATGAGTTTGTTGTATTATTCTCATCTGTAATTTGGAAATCAAAATTTCATGCGTTTCCTCATTTTGGATGCCAAAGTTTAAACATCTAACTTGGGGTAATGGTGCTCTTCTCTCACAGTTTCTTTTGATTTCTCTGGTGCAGCACAAAAAGGTATGTGTATAAATGCCCAGCAGTTCTATGGTGGCTGCACAGGCATGTTGCTGTTGGGGCCATCCTTTTCTCCCAGTCACAGGGAGGAAGGGGTGCAGTACCCTCTCAGCATCACAGTTAATTTGAACTCTTTTAAATTTGCTGCTGAATTGGCAGTAGTTTTGGGATGAGCAGCACCAGTCAGGTTTCAGCCATGCCATCAGGATCCCCTGAGGTCAGGATTTATTCATGACTGGAAAAAACTTTTAATCTTTATTCTGTGTAGCAGGCTCACCTTTCAGAGCTTGGGTTGAGTCCCAGGCTCCAGATTCTGCTGTTTTGATTGGTGGAGCCCATCCACCAATCAGGAGGCAGCAAGAGAAATAAAGTCATGCCCGTTTCCTGAGGGGAGGGGGAGGGGCAGGGGGAGAAGAGCTTCCCTGGACTTGATTGAAGATTGTAAACTGTCAGGTCTGAAGGCTTTAGGGGCTGAGCCCTGGAGCGTCTAAAAGGAGCTGTGCGCCCAGCACCAGGGGCAGATGCAGTGAGGGACTCAAGAAGAACAGAGCCAAGAAAAGCTGGGGAGCTCTCCTCCAGCGAGCAATAGGCCCAAGGCTCCTGAAGCTGTCACTGGAGGAGCAGCCTTGGGAGTGGTGCGAGACCGCTTGGGCTGTTGATGGCGCACAGGGACAGTGCGCGGAGACCCAGCCCTGGGAGTGGTGTGAGATTGCTTGGGCCCATCAAGGTGCGAGGTTTGGTGTACGGAGCCCAGGCTTTGGGAGCTGCAAGCAGCAGCTCGAGCCTGCAACCCTGGCAGGGCCAGCAGGCCGCATGGTGTGAGGGGCAGCACATGGGGCAAAGGCCTTGGGGCTGCAGTGAGGTGGCTCAGGCCCCATCTCCTGGCAAGTGGCCAGGTCCCACAGTGTGCAGGGTGGTGCATGGGGCCGAGCCTTGGGAGCCAGGGAGCAGCGGAGGCTGCTTGGGTTAGCCACCCGGCGTGAGGCCAGCTGCCCGGAGCCTGAAGGACCTGGCCTGAGCTAAGAGAGTCCTCAGTGCCAAGCCAGGGCACAGGGAAATAGTAGTGCTGCAGTGTGGGCCCAGCACCCAGGAGCCAGCAGCAGTAGTGCAGCAGCTGAGAGGAGCTGAGCCTTCAGTGCCCAGAGCAGGGCACAGGGTGGGGAGGAGCCCAGTGCTACAGGAGAGGCCTGGAGAGGTGCTCCAGCAGAGGAGACCCCATCGAGCTGCGCCCTGACCACCACCATGTGAGGAGCGTGAGTCATTGGGCCCTTGGGTCCCACAGGGAGAAGACATTTGGGGTGGGCAAACCCAGAGAAGTGGCTGGGTGAGCAGCCCCCCACATAGTCAAGGCCCTAAGGGGAGGGGCCTCTGGTGCTTCCTGGACACCCCCCCAAGGGACCCCATTGGAAGGAGGACTATGTCTTGCCATGGGTTAGGGACTATGTTAAAGAATAGATGTTATTAAGATTGTTCATGTTTGCACCTTACATTTTGTAATTGAAATGTTGCATTGTGATATTGTAAATAGTGTTATTTAGGGTTTGACCTTAGTTATTGGTTAGTGTTCACTGTGTGTGTGTGTGTGTGTGTGTATGTATGTGTGTGTGTGTGTGTGTGTGTGTGTATATATATATATATATATATATATATGATATTTAGTTTTATGTTTATGTATATTATAACTTAATAAATTGTATATAGTTAAGAATTTTGGGCTTAGGCTAACTCTATAGAGGAAAGAGGGATCTGCTTGAAATTCTGGCATCCCTCTCACAGCATCCCCTCCTGCCTACCCATCTCATTCAATTGAGAATAGGGCACACCCTTGGGTGTACCCCAGTTACATCTGCCTTCCTCAAGTAAGCTCTGTGTCTTATCTGGAGGTGTGTGGTATGCAAGAAAGTATGGTATCGTCTAAGGGTACTTGTACATGTGACGTGGGTTTAGTTTCGGGATTTTATTCTATGGCTCCTAAATTGAAATGGTGGGTTTTTAATTGAAACGCACCACTTTATTTTTTCCATTGTGTTACAGTGAGGCTCCCAATCCTTTTCTTTTTTTGTCAGAGCCGGAGCCTGCTCACGGCAGGGGAGGTTTGCTGCTGGCAGGCCTAGTGGCCCCTGAGCTGCAAGTTGGGGGGAGGGGGCGTTCCTTCCCTCTGCATCTGTGATGCCTCCCAGGGTCACCTGAGCAGGCTGCTAGTGGGCCGGGTGCTGCCTCAGCTTGGAGGCAGCACCTGGCCCAATCCAAATGTTTCCCGACCTCACCTGGGGACCAACACCCTGTGGCCTGGCTCGGGGAAGAATTGGATCAGGCCAGGTGCTGTCTCCAAGCTGGGACAGCACCTGCCCTGCTAGCAGCCCACACAGGCAGCCCCAGGGGGTGCCACCACTGTGGAGGGAAGGACCAGAGTCCCCTGCAGCTCAGGGGCAACTCGGCCCAGTAGCAGCTCACCCCCTGGCTGTGGGAGAGGCAAGCAGGCTCCACTGCCAAAAAAAAGGATTGGGCTCCTTGCTGCTTTTGCCTTCAGCAGGTGCCTGCTGAAGGCAGATGTGGTGAGGGACCTGATCCTTTTTTTCTGCAGCCTGCCCACCTTTCCCATGGTCGGGGGGTGAACTGACAGCTGTATCATTGCAATTTGCAACATCTGGATGTAGTTTAGTTTGCAATGATACAAACTCATCTAAAACCCACCGAACTGGCACACGTGTAATGTGTGATGCCATAAAGCCACACAAACAACATTTTCATCTGTGTAAATTGTAACAACTGTCACATGTACTTGAGCCCTAACTTCTCAGAGAGAGGGCCTGTGATCAAAACAGACTTAATATGTGATGTCTAGTATGTACAGCTGCTCCTCCTGTCCTTCCTACTTCCTTTCATTACTTCAAGGACAGCTAATTGGGTCTTTCCTTTGTGTTGCCAGACTTTGGGCTATGTGCATGCAAGCTTATTTAAAATGACAATATAATGTAATTTAGGTATAACCCCATGGCATCCAGAAATACAGATTGAATACACCAACTGTATTGTCTTTTGAGATGCTGCTGTCTCTTCTGCCCAGCTCTGCCTTGTGATTTGACATTCCTGATGCCATTTCTCTATGGTAAAGGAGGTGAGATCTCATAAGATCAGCCTATGGGGAGGTAAACTGACATCCCTCTTCACTGGGGATACTTGAGAGGGATATACATCTTGGGTTGCATGTTAGAGACCTTAAAATAGAAGCTCACACAACATCCTGAAAGAATAAAATTATCAACCTCTGTTAAATAGTTAAAAGGACATTGGCCCATCTGGTTCCTTGCTCTCTATTTTCATTTTCCTAGCTGGAGGGGTAATTTAAGGAACAAGATGTTGAGTCACATGATCGGGGGCAACAGGGCAGGCCCTATGAGGAGAGGCTATGGGACATGAACCTGTTCAGCCTCCACAAGAGAAGGCTGAGAGGGGATCTGGTGGCCATCTATAAACTGGCCAAGGGGGACCACCAGGCAATGGGAGAGTCCCTGTTCCCCCGAGCACTACCGCGGGTAACAAGGAATAATGGCCATAAGTTGATGGAGAGTAGGTTCAGGCTAGATATCAGGAGGCACTACTTCACAGTCAGGGCATCCAGGATCTGAAACCAACTTCCAAAGGAAGTGGTGCTCGCTCCTACCCTGGGGCTCTTCAAAAGGAGGCTAGATAATCACCTACTTGGGGTCGTTTGACTCCAGCATTCTTTCCTGCCCATGGCAGGGGGTTGGACTCGATCTGCTTGGGTCCCTTCTGACCCTACCAACTATGAAACTATGATGCTATGAGTCCCTGCAGGATTTTGAAGTTTATTTGTTCCTCAAAAAGAATGACTTTAGGGGTACTCAAGGGCTCCTTATATGGATCCAATCTCCTTCAATTAGTATTGTGATTGCAGTGCAGACCCTTATGTACCTTTTGGGTATATAAGAGTAAATTAATTAGAGGTGCACCGATACATTGGTCTGATATCAGATCATTACTGACATAAAGAAAACTGTTCGTATTGGATATTGGCCCAATGGGGCCAATAATTTGGCTGATAAATGCCTGTGCTGTATGCAGCCGCAGTGCAGCACTCAGTCAGCAGGGAGCACAGCCGGCATCATGGAGAGCTACCTCCAGCTAGTAAGTCCAGTGTGGTGGAAG